TAAAATGGGTAGAGTTTGTTTGGAATAATGAAAAAGTTGTGGAAACACTGGCGATAACTATACATTATGAAGTACTTAATGCTACTGAACTGTAGCGTTAAAAATGGTTTAAATGGCTAATTTAATATTATATATATATTACCATAAAGTATTATTATTCCAATTTTATAACATTTAAAAACCAAAACAGCAGAAACATTCTATTAATCCAACACTAAACATATTTATATGTAAGAAAAACAGAAAATGTGCAGGTTACTAGTATACAACAGTAAATAAATACAAACCTCCCATTGAGTGATTACATTTTTCAGCTTCTGGATTTCAGCATCTTTCCTTTCAAGTTCCAACTTTAGTCTTTCAATTCTTCCATCTTTCAAAACTACTTCCTGAAGAGAGAAAAACTCTATTTTAGAACTAAGATAGCCTGCTGATTCTGATTTACAATATTCCTTTGTGAAAAGTTCAAGAGAAAAAAGTCCCAATTTTCTCTATTTTAATTCATTTTCCACAGCAACCTTCAATTGTTGACTGTATTTCCATTTCTATTCAATGATGTAATTCTAATTATATACAATGCAAGCAAATAAGATATTTATGATTAATCTCAAACTGCAAACATACCCTATAATAATATCAAGGCTTTGAAATGATGTATTTATGAATAAACATACTAAAAGTGCTCTGTAATGAAATATTAGTCTATCATTAAGACTCAAAAGAATTGAAAACTTATGAGAAAAAACACAAAATAACAAAACAAGAAAATAAATAGCTTTGCTCTGTATCAGCAATTAGCAGGTAGAAGATATAACTAGAAAAACCATTTTCTCCCAATAGCAATAAAAAATATCCCCAAGAATAAAATTCAGAAATTTTCAGGATCCATTAAGAAAATTACAAAATACTGAAAAGGACATAGAACAAAGTATGTCAATAGATAGGAACAGTAAATATTACTAAATATATTACTTTGTAAATTCGATACAATTTCTATTGAAATCCCAATGAGATTTTGTACTTTGGAACTTAGCAAGACAGTCAAAACTTCTTCTGGGAGAATACAGGATAGAAACAAAGTTAATGCGATGAAGAGGAATATGCCTAACAAATTATTGTATACAGTACAGCACAAATAACTAAAGTAGCATAGTCATGGCACCTAGGTTAACAGAGCATTGCAACAGAAAATAAAGTCCAGAAAGAGATTTAAAACCTAAGAATTTATTATAATATAAATATAGTATTTTTAAAAACTGAAAAAAAGGCTGAAGCACAGAATAGTGGATTACAAGACAAATGGCTAACTGGGAAAACAAGTTAGCCTTCATCTTGTACCATATAACGAAATAAACAAACTCAAATGCAAAAAAAAAAAATCCAAAGTTATATTTTTGATAATAGTATAAATTGGTTCTATTTATCTAATGACTATGTGGAAACATTAACTTACTCTAAAAATACTCAATAAGCACCTAACTGCTACTAGATGCTGGGTATGCAAGAGTGAACAGAACTGAAAAGATTATCGCCCTGATGGGATTGTCTGTTGCAGGAGGCAGATGTAAAAAAGAATAGAAGCCCTGGCCAGGTGGCTCAGTTGGTTTGAGTGTTTCCTGTACACCAAACGGTTGCAAGTTCAATTCCTGGTCAGGACACATATCTTGTTGCAGGTTTCGATCCCTGGTCAGGGTGCATATGGGAGGCAACCAATTGATGTTTCTCTCTCACATCAACGTGTGTCTCTCTTCTTCTCTTCTCTTCTCTTCTCTTCTCTTCTCTTCTCTTCTCTTCTCTTCTCTCTTCCTCTCCCCCCACCCCCCGCTTTCCTCTCCCTCTAAAATCAATAAATATATCCTTAGGTGAGGATGGATAAATAAAATAAAAAGTGGAGGTAAGAGATTTCCAGGTAGAAAGAACAGTATCTTTAAAAGCCCTAAGATAGAAAAAAGCCAAGAATTTGAAGAAAAAAGAGGCCAGTGGTTTGGGGCTTAGTGAGGGAGAAGATAGTACAAGACGATTTTGGAAAAACAGGTAAAGGCTTGATCTTGGAGGGCCTTGTAGGCAACAAGAATGGCCTGCACATTCTGAGTAAAATAGCAGTGAAGGATTTTGAGCAGGACTATTAAGATTTATGTTAGATTATATTTTTAAAGAATGACGGTGGAAAATGGATTAGGGTCGGGTAGGATAGGTGGAAAGATCTTTAACGGATACTGCAAGTACAGGTCAGAGAAGATTATACTTTTGATTAGGGTGGAAGCAGTTTAAATGGTAAGAAGTATATTATGTAAGAAATTATTTAAAAGTGTAATCAAGAGCATTTGATGAGAGGTTGAATGTGGCAGTTGAGAAAGAGGGATACTTCGAGTTTCTAGTTTAAGGAATAAGGTAGATGGATCAAAATTAGAAATATACATACTATTAGGCCCAGAAATCTCACTTAGAAGTGAGGGAAAGTGTATCTGTCAGTGTTCACTGTGATTTATCACAACAAAAAATTGGACATCAATTTAAATGCCAAACTATAGAATATAGGCTAAATATATGGTAAATTTATGAAACTGTGAAACTCTTGAAATCACTAAAAATAATAATATACTATAAAATACATTAACATGATCCCAAATTGTAATGCTACATGCAAGGAAAAATGCAGGGAGGACATAAAAGAAAATTTTAATAACTCTCTTAGGACATTATGAAATACTAGTATTTTCACTTCATTTAAAAATTATTTTATCAAAATTGTTTTATACTGAGTATGTAATTATTTAACAATATAAAATACTATTTTAATTTTGAGAAATTAAACCATGTAAGTATTAAAATGGTATCTAGATGAAAATGAATATATATCATTTTTTAATAGGAAAGCCCTTCTGAACATACCAAAGGGAGAAAGCTGAAAAGATTAATAGATTTAACTTGCTGAAAAATTTTTCTAAAAATACTGTAATAAAATCAAAAGATAAATGATTATCTGGAAATAATAAGTCACAATCCGTATGTTAAGCATATGAGCAAAAAACATGAAGAAATGTATAATCTCAATAATAAGCAAGAAATATTATATCAAACTGGCACATTAAAATATTTTTTCCGAATAAAAGGGGAGTGGCGAAGAAGCAGGAAGACAGGACCATGTCGAAGGGCTCCGAGCCCGGTGGCTCCACAGCTTCCTCGGCGCCCCTGGCCGCTACCGCTCAGGTGCTGCAGGCACAGCCCGAGAAACCGCAGCACTACACCTATGTAGATACTAAAGAAGGCTTCTCCACAATCCATACGCATCTGCTTTGACTGGTGGTTTCTATCAACCTACAAAGACTTATTGGTGAGGGCAGCTGGACAACTCTGAGAGCAACTTAGAGAAATCCACCCTGGGCACACTCTGTAGAGGAACTCCTTCTCTGGAAATAGCACCCCAGATAAGTGCACAAAAGCAAGACACCCTCCTGGACCTACTTCCTCCCGCTTTCAACAGCCCGCTGCCTGAAGTGTGTAGAATTTGACAGCAGTATCGAGAGCTGATGAGGAGGAGAAGATGGAAAGGAGTCTAGCAACTTAAAAATCTCATAACATTCTCTGTGAGGTGACTTTTTCTGTTGGTGGCGCAATTTATTTAAGATTTAAAGAAGATACTAAGGCCTGTGATAGCATCATCATGTCATATCTGAGCTTATTGAAATGTTTCCTCCCTTTCCTTATTCTTTATATCACAGTTTGCTTTTTGTATTCTTAAGTTGACGCGTTTGTTTCCTATTAGTACTTGAAACACCATATGGCCACCATGAGTTCTAACAGAATGACTTCTAACGAGGAGGGGGAAGGCCTGTGTTCCCACCTTCCTATGAAATTGTGGCCTATTGACAAAACTACCCCCTTAGTTCTAAAGAGTAGCTAAGCTTTTATTAATTTTGGTAAGAGCATTGCTGTATCTTTTTGATGTCACTTTTATTGCTAAGAGGTGCTAGGCATTTATTAGCCTGTCACCTTAAGGTTTGTCTAAATCAAATCTACCCAAACATAATATAAATTAGAAACCTGTACTTGTATTTTCTTATTTAAAAAAAAACCCACACAGTTAAATTTTACTATTGAACCGCGAGTCCTTTATAATGAGTACATAAAGTGAATATTAAATAATCAGTGGAGTGTTAAAAAAAAATTTTTTTTTCCTCTGTGTGGGTAACTGAAAACAACTTAGTTATTAAAAATTCAACTATTTGTATTTTATGTTCAAGAATTATTACTTAACTAGAGGCCTGGTGCACGAAATTCATGCACTGGGGGTGGGGGTTTCCCTCAGCCCGGTCTGCACCCTCTCCAATCCAGTACCACTGGCTCCTAACTGCTCACCTGCCTGCCTTCCTGATCGCCCCTAACCACTCTGCCTGCCTGCCTGCCTAATGCCCCTAACTGCTCCCCTGCCAGCCTGATCAGCCCCTAACTGCTCTCCCCTGCCAGCCTGATTTTCTTGCTCTCCCCTGCAGGCTTGATCACCCCTAACCACCTCTGCCTCAGCCCCCACCACTGTGGTTTTGTCTGGAAGATGTCCGATCTGATTAGCATATTACCCTTTTATTAGTATAGATGACCTGAAATGCTCACCATCTGCATTTAACTAAAAAGTAGTCCATATAACAGTTTCTACATTACTGAGAGGAAAAAGTATATATCCACAGAAAATAAAGGCCAAAACAAAATATACACAGAAACAAATCTCATAAAATATGAATAGACATACTCTGACATTTTTTTGTTTTTGCAAATGCTGGCAGCAATCTACTAAAACTGATTTCAAAACCTGTTAAATGAGTTGAGACTCAGTTAGAAAAGCACACGTGAGGACTTAAAATGTCAGGCCAAGGACACTGTAAGTCCTCACTTAAGGTCATGGATAGGTTCTGCAAGTTTCAAAATTACAAACAACAAAACCAATTAAGTTCCTATGGCATCATGGCACTGTTAAAACCATGTTATTCAAGGACTTGCTGTACTTGATTCAACAAACAGTGAATTTTTAAGGACATGGAAAAGAAGATAGATTTGAAAAAGATTTCAAAGATTAAAACTCCCAAGTCTTGAAAAACAGAAAAGTAAAAAAGGAAGTTTTTAGAGCCTGGGTAACTAGATCAAATGATAAAACCAAAAACAAAAATGATGAAAGTCAAGCCAAACACTTGGTTTGGAGACAGGATGATGAGCCTGAGTTTGCACATAGTGAATATACTAGTAAGGTATCCACAGAATAAGAATGAAATATGCCATAAGGGCCCTAGCCAGTTTGGCTCAGTGGGTAGAGCGCCGGCCTACGAACGAAAGGGTCCTGGGTTCGATTCCAGTCAAGGGCACATGCCTGGGTTGTGGGCTCGATCCCCAGTGGGGG